AAGTAAAGGCATATGTGTCAAAACAATTGTCCAATAATCATCAATACATTAAAGATACAGCAGATAGAGATTAGGCTGAGGAACACTGGAATATTCATTTACAAATGTTTTCATTTCCTAAAAAGCAATTTTAAAGTTAAGCTGTAATGAAGGTTGTGAGGATATATTTCATTGTTTGCTTGTTAAACATGTACTTGTTCAGGCTCTTGTTGCCCTGATCCTTCAATAGTCACAGTAGTTGATCTTTTTGAGCAGGTAATGCATGAACTGGTGCATGGTCAAGGAAACTTCACTCCCCTGTCCCATTAGATAGCGACAAGGGGATATTTTGATGCCTAGCAAACTGTGGAAACGAGTTTGCGTCCAAGCTTGCTTGAAATAAATAAGAGCTGAGCGTATTTCATTTTTATTAGAGATGGCCCGCATCCCAGTGTAAACAGCACAGCTCTACATCAGTTAATTACGAAGCCCAGCCAGGCTGAGATAGAGCCACTCTGCTTAATACAGTATGATCCAATTTGATTCTTGTCTTCTGCTTCACACAATGCACAGCTAGCACAAAAGCCAGACATGACATGACAAAAGCTTTGTTAAAAAAAAAAAGCTTAGACTATGTGCCCAAAAGTCATGTGACCCCTTAACAGCTGTTTAGAACTGATTGTGGCAACAGTTGCTGTTTACTTTCATGTATGTATGTGGTCACAGTCAAAACCCCTTTGCACTGCTACAGTAGGCCATCCCTCCATCATCTCCTACTGGTTTAGTGCCTATTACTGGCTGATTTTCCCCCCAGTAGTTATGATAGTCCCAGGGCAGCTATCCCCCCCTTTAAAATAAGCTATTTGGACAGAGCAGAGGGGATTAGAGTTGTAGTATGTAAAGGAGACCGCTGGTATGAGTAGTGGATGTTGTAGCCATTTTTGCAGACGTGGCAGAGTAGTAATACATCATCATGAATAATAGAGCATCAGTGATGTACTCACTGTTTGGATGTGTAATGTAATTGATGACTGCAGTTTATTACTGACTGTTTTATTAAATGAGCTAAATTTACTTATTGTTAATTAGTCCTTCTCAGATTTTGACTTCAGATTGGAGAACTTCAATTATACTCTTCTATTAATTACAAACAACTCAGCTAGTTTGCATTGTTGCCCATGTAGTTAATGAATAATAAGCCTTAGGATGTAATAAGCCTAGGATTTTGAGGGGTTAAGGGATTAATGATGATCGAATATACTGTACAATGCAAAAGTCAGAGTCTTTCACTTATGCTTTCATTTGTATTCAAAATGTATAGTTATAAAGGGCAAATGATTCATTTTTCAAATTTACACGAAAGCCTCCACCACGAAGTATAATATCAAATCTGTCAGGATTTAATTTGCCACTTTAACTCTTCTACCCTCCCAGTGTTATGGTGTGAGTAGAGGCACTGTTTGACAATAAAACCACTGTACTTGGGCTGACTGACCTGAGTGGCTCTTGACCACAGCTACTTCCTATTCAGCAAAAAGTGTAATGACTAGGGGTGTAATAGTGCATTGATGGATTGATCTGATGGTGACAATTCAACTGCATTGTAATTTTGGAACTCATTATAATCGATCGTAATAATGTTCAATAAAGCATAGTATTGTGCAAAACACAGAGGCCACCAAAAGTCCAGTTATTAAAAGATATAGAGAAAATGTGACTCTGGTAGACCCCCAAAACTGTCACCATCACATAAATAGTACTTAAAGCTTTCATCTTTGTGAGAGAGGAGAAAATCAAGCTCCACTTTTGCTTCAGATATGAAGAAATTCACAGGTGTTTCTGTCCATCCTTCCAGTGTGAGAACTTAATGCTATGATATGAACCAGACATCCACCTCTAAAAGCTCCCTCACAGAAAGTTATTACATGAAATAGTTATGAATACACTGCCTGATATCTGAGACATTCTTTTATGATAGGTTTGTGATAAAGTTTTGGCTTAAAATGTATTTGAATTTATTTATTTTAATCCATTCATAGTGGAAGGGCACATGCAGGGTGTTGTGAGGCAGAATAGTGCCGAAAAGTTATTTTTTCCAGATTTGCTGCTATACCATCATCACCATTACATATAAAAACTCACAAGGTTCACTGGTAGTTCTTTTGGATAGTGAATAAAATGGCTGCATTTGTGTTGTAGACATGGCGACCCCTGGTTCCTATCACCACCACTGTAAAGAAATCTGAGTTACTAAAAGTATCCACAATGAACCATTTCACTCAAACCACTCTGAGTGACCATTTACATCTCAAGGATTTTGAAAAATTGGTGGAATTCCACTTTAAATAAATGAGTCTCTGACTTTTGCACAGCACTGTACTTTTTTGTAAGAAAAGAAGATGAATCTATGAATAACTGCTTGAAATAAAAATGAATAACATTCCATGGCAAATTCTGAATTGTGGTTTGTCTGCAGTCTGCTTCTGCCTGTCAGCCCAAAGAAGGTCAGCGAGGTAGATAAACATTGACTGTTTACAACTGTGTCTGAGCAGTCGGTGACTTTTAAATCAGATAGCTCTGGGAAACACAGCCTCATGGCCAACAGCAGTGTGCTCAGATCAGTGTTAGTGTGTGGCTGCTGGAAGGAGTCTCAGTGATGGGCTTGTGCTGCGTCTGCAAGGCCGCGGCAGCAACGGCATGTCTTACCCAAAGCTCCCTGAGGCATGCACCCTGGCACTCATCAAATGTAACACTGATACTCACCCAACCAGTATCAGTATATCAGTATACGGAGAAAGAGAGAGTGAAAGAGAGAGAGAAAGATAAACTGTGAGTCAGAGGTTTATGCTCCAGGAGCAATTAGAAGGCCAATATGGGGTAAAGAAAATAATTTTCTGAGTTAGTGCATAAAGTATTGACTAATTTAGTTAATTCATTCATGCCCATTTTTTTTCAGTTCTTTTATACATGTTGATGTACTCTCAGTGACCCTTATAAATAAGTTCAAAATTTATTTTGAATGTTTACATTTATAGAACTCCTTTGTACAACTGCATTTTTTTATGTGTATTTAAAATGTTGCAAAACTAGATTTATAACTCGGTAACTAGATTCTACTACATTTTTTACAAGATTTTTTTGTTAACATTGAAAGAAGTAGCGTTACTGTGTCAGGAGGGAAAAAACATGCTAAAATATAGTGTACATATTCTGCTGTCACCCTGCAAACCCTGAAATAATAATTTCAAAGTCAGAGGAGTTGGGTTGCATTCTGTGAAAGTTTTTCAGTCTATGTCTTTTGTCTTTACATATTAACGTTACACACACAGGCTAAAAAAAAGGTGTTTATGTTTCAAATGAAAAATCAGTATTATACTGATGAAAATATATAACAATATGACAATAGTAGATAATTTATTTACTAAATAAATTCTCTCAAGCCTGCCTACTTTAGCACGTGTCTTTTTAGACAGGACCCGTAGCCAGTTCCCAATCATGGTGAGGACGGAGGCGAAGTAAGCCAAGCCAAGTAAGATCCAGAACCACACCAAGGGTTTGTACCAGTGGTCTGTCCCCTCAGCCCCACTATCACCTGAACAAAAGGGTTTAAAAGTAGCACAGCTTACAGAAAAAGACTGAGAGTATCAATTTTGGCATTACTCACGCATCACACTCATGCTCCTGCCCTTTTTGTTTCATGTTTATTTTATACTTCTCATCAACTTGTACTTATGGTAAAACAGCATTTTAGATACATGTACATACAAATCAGTGTCTTAACGATGTTTATCACTAGAAAGCATGAAGGCCTATAAGAAAACAGAAAACAAAAAATGTTTTTGCTTTTGGGAAATTCTCAACACAGTGATATGTGGGGGCTTACTGTTGTGATATGTGATGTGTATCAGTGAACAGGAAATATCAGCAGAATATTGGTGTGAGTGGACAACTGAAAGGTCAGGTGTTTCGACAGGCAAAGCACAAAAAAATTGACAAAGCTGAAAACATCTTATATTTCTTTTTATTTCTTCTTATTTCTTTATATTTCCAAGTTAAAGCTTGGAGATGCATGTAATTCACCTGAGCAGAAACCACAAATGTAAGTTTGTATGCACAGAAGGGTTACAGATGACTGAAGACTGTCTTTTTGTGTTAAATCAGTCATAAGATGGATATGCTGCACTGTAATAAAAAATGTTGCTTTAATTGAAAAAAGTTGCTTACTAGGCTGCCTTCAAGTTTGGAGTTAATTAAACTGTGACTGACCTGTTGCTCTCTTTTCACGAAGTTGTGAACATTGGTCTGGACAGTCCAACTGACCGGTCAGGCTACCGGCTGGGCAATTTCTTGGTACTCCTGATGGGCAGTACAAGTCTAAAGAGCCCAATAAAAAAATCAGGGGCCAGCTGCCTCAGGCACCCCTGTACCATGGGCCCCAGTGCAACTGACCCCCCCCCCGCCCCGCCTTCTCAAGTGGCTATGCTACTGTTCACTAGTCCTGTTTTTCAAATGATAAATGATTGCAATGGAAAATATGTTGACATGCAATCTCTTAAAAGTGAGATAGGGGCTGTTCATAGAGAAGAATTGAGCTTCTGAGTCAGTAAACTGTGGATAATTCTTTTTTTTGGCCCTTGCATTCACTTCACAGAGTGCAAGTTAAATAGACTATGACAGCGATGGGGGTGAGCTGGGTGTACCAGGTCCTTGTCTCCCTCTATCTCCCTCCCTGAATATTTCATAGGACATCCCTAAAAACCACAGGCTTTGTGTGCATTAAAAGAAACAGCAGGAAGCAAGCAGAGACAGATCAAAGGGGCAGTTAGCTCATTCGGGCTCAGAATATCTGCATTGACCCCTCCCTTTATTTCTCTCTCTCTCGTTCTCTAACCGTTTGTCTGTTTCTCCCTCCTGGTAGCACCTATTTACCCCCCCCACCCCCCCCCCCCCCTCCCTCCCTCATTCCCTCCCTGTCCAGCCTTTTTCACAGAAACACACACACACACACAGTCCTTCTCTCTCCAGGGCACTCTCACATCTCAGACAGTTTGATTGAGTATCTTTTCATTTCTTGGGTACTCAGCAACAGTCTCTCTCAGACACATGCACACGCCCACACACCCTCAGTAGTAACTGCCCGGACGGAGGAACTGCAGTTTTGCGGTTGCCACTCTCAGTTTTGCTGGACCATTTACATTGAGGTAGGAGACGGACACAGACATATGTGTGCATGCATGTGTGTGTGCCTAAGTGAGCTGCTTTACGGTGACTCTTAACGCTGCATTGAAGTGTAGACTGTAATAGCTGGAATAATGTGAATTCAATTAATATTGCATGAAATGATTTGCTTCTACTGTGCACTTCAGTTTTACTTGCCTTCTCTTGAACTGTAGTGCATCAGAGTTAATGTCCGTGTAGCTTTATGGCAATTGTGCAACCCGTATTGGGTTAAGTGCTGTTGGTACTGTGTACACTATCATAGCACTCAATGACAAACCAGTGCTAGGATATAGTAGTAATATCTTATTAAGCTTACTAAGCTCAATATATCTAGTTTTTTATATGCAGAGCATTATCATTTTAAACATAGCTCTTTTTGTTTATATTTATATGTCATTTTGGATTAAACAACATTGGGCCAGATATTAAGCCTAGTCTTGGACTACAAATCATTTCTAAAGGTGATTTAACATTGACACTATAATTTATCCCATATCTTGGAAACCAGCCCACAGAATTAGTCTATATTGGTTGATAATATGCTAGCATCAGTTTATACAGGTTGGCTACATGCCATTATGGCTTTAATAACATACAGAGTGTGCAAAGTTTGGTCAAATTACATGTTATGTTAATGTTATGTTAACATTTCAGATGTGTTACAACATCCTCTACATAGAACACACTTCTGTACATTTTAATTCATGAAAAACTGTGTATTTGCTTAATTTAGCACATTAGGGAAAAAATACAACATAAAATGTGGCCTGTGCAAAAGTTATGGCACACTTATATTTTATATTTTATTTGTTTCCATTATGTTAAATTTAGCAAATTAATCAAAATTGTACGCTACAATTAGCCAGTGTAGTGTAGTGTCGCTAAAACGCTGTTTTTAAGTTAGTTTCCTGCAGAGTATATGTTAACTTATTTTAACTTATAAAATCAACAAAACGTGTAATCAGACCAGGGTATATAAACTTTTGCACACGACTGTAGTTTGTAATAGTGCTTTGTGATAGCAAAAAACGGTGGAGTGCCGTTAGAACGGGATGCGATTCTGCATGTACATCAAGCCCATAGTGGTATATAGTTCCTTCTGCGAGTTTTAATGTTGATCTTGCAGCTGTAGTGTCAGCAGCTCCTTCTGCTCTCTGAATCAGCCTGAGCCCAATAAACTGTCACAGAAATGTGCCCCCCCCCGCCCCTGGCATTTAGACCTACTGAGATCATTCTCTCTCTGTACCTCTCTATCCCCTTCTCTCTCACAGACACACACACAGCTCTACACACTACTCACAGCCCACCACACACTGCCCTCAATTCCATCCCGTGGGTGTAGGCTTACTACCTTCAATCTTCACCCCACACTAAAAACAAATTACAGCACGCATGTAGTCGGATTGTTTAGTCCTCCAACATTAGAAACCTCTTCCTCACACAAGAGCCTGCGTGCCCTAGAGGCAGACCACCACATTAACCCTCAGCTTTGTTCCTTTGTGTGAATCCGGAGTCGTTAAGCTGTCAAAATGGCATAGCAATCCAGTTCCATTATTAGCACTTTGGGTGATTACGCCAAGCTGACATGACTTTTCCATGGTGTGCAGGATCGATCACGTCTCCTTCTCTGCACCTCCATAACTACAACATGATTCTAATACACAGATTATTATTAGGGGTGTAAATGTCCAACCTGGCAATGATTTGATTACAGTTCTTTAGGAAATGATTCAATTGATCATCAAATCTCGACCTGATTAACACTTGATTATGTTGGTATGATTCAGAATTATTTTTACTAATACATTAATATGACTGGATATATATATAAATGCAATAGTTTTAACACCCAAATTAGATCAAATTATGTTGATTTGCTGGGTGAAAATGAGTTAACAAATCCTCTACAGAAGTGTGTTCGCTGTAGAAGATGTGTTACCATATTTTCACTCAGAAAATCAACACAACGTAATTTGAAAGGTTTTGTTCAGACAGAAGCCTCAACAGCTATATATACCATGAAAATATTGATTTATTGTTCCCATTATTTTTGGGGAGACTTTCTTTCAGTATTCAAAAATGTGCAGGGATATTTTTCTACAATTTTCCAAAGTTCAGTCTTAGACGTTGGTAGCATTTTCTGCTTCCCAAGTCATCCCAAACACAATCCCAATTTCCTTTTCTCAGTAACAGCTTCTTGACATCCTTTCAGACTCATAGTGTTGAACTGTCTTCTCACAGTTGAAGGATGGACAGAAACAAATGTGGACTTTTTCAAATCTGAACCATCTCTCTCAAAGATGACATTTTCTCTATATCTCTTAATGACTGGACTTTTGGTGGTCTCTGACTTTTGCACAATGATATGCTTTATTGAATATTAGTCTAACCAATTATAATCAATTCTAATATTACGATGCAATTAAATTGTCACCTTCAGATCAATGCAACACATTATTACACTCCTAGTTATTACCCTTTTGCTAAATGGGAAGCAGCTGTGGTCAACAGTCACTCAGGTCAGTCAGTGCAATGTTTTTATTGTCAAACAGTGCCTCTACTAACACCATATGGTTCATGTACGCTCTACTGAGACAGGTGTATCTTGTTCATTTTCCCCACACAAAGCAGTTCCACAACATGGCTCTGTAAAGGTGTTCCGCATCCACAACTGCCTCAGAGCTGCCAGCCTGACCACAAATTAAAAGGGACAAAAATATACTTGTTGACTGCCTGACAGGCATTTAGAGCCAGATACAAAAATTGTTTCCAGTGTTTTACTATGCTGTGAGGCAGACAGGTTTTGTGTGGGGATGACACCAATCCGATACCAAGTATCCATATCAGGCTGATATCAGATTCCGGATCAAATATTGGAATGAATCTGATGCACTCCTGTAACAAATCAGTCTTGAAATAGCACACACTCACACTGTGTGGTGTGATGTTGTTAGTTGTGTATTTCCTCCTGTGGAGTAGAAGAGTCAAGGCCGACTCTAGCATTTCAGGGGTCCTAAGCAAGATTTCTTGGGGGTCCCCTATGATGCTAGCTGATGTACTGTATAATTAAAGGCTAATCAATTACAATGACTACCCTAAGCTGTCTAAATTACATAAATTCATAAGTATAACTCAGTTATAAATGCTTTACCTTCCACATGTTTAGGTAATATCATTTCTTTTTCCTTCATTTGTGGTAGCTCCTCCTGGCTGTTTGTCATAAACATAACACTTTTATGTGCACATGCATGATGATTAATCACAGCCTGAATACCTAAAACTGTGTTAATAGAGAAAGTCATTACTGCTGTTGTAAAATGAGTTAACTGCATCTATTTGGTTTTGTGAAAATGAAGCTTCGTTAGACAGACCCCAAATCAGCTACTTCGTGTCCAACTAAAAGCCAAAACAAACAGCGTAACATTAAAACCACAGGGCATTTTCTCCTCATCATCTCTTTTTCTCATCTGCTTTTCGGCTCCAGATGTCCACATTCTTTTTTGAGTCATGATTAACCAGTTGCTATTTCCCCTCACTCAAACATCTTACACATTATAATGGGACAGAAATAGCTTAGAAGTTGTTAGGGGTCCCCCTGGCGGCCATGGGGCCCTAAGCAGCTGCTTACATTGCTTATTAGGTGGAGCTGGCCCTGAGTAGAGCTTTTGAGTAGTTTCTGCATGACAGCCTATTTTAAGATTCTCATCTTAAGTAAAGTGCTTCAACTGAAAATTGAAGAAAAGCTCGTTTTAAAGACTAGTAGGTTTTAATGGAAAGATATCAGGTATCAGTTTCAAAAGAAAACGCCATCTCTAGTTTTGTATGCTATTTCCAACAGTACGTCATACCAGATTTAGCCTGCTTCAGTTGTGACCATTTATGCACCCTCAGTTAAGTTCTGTTTTTATGATATGCTTTATATATGTATCATCAGTGTCTCCTCGGTCTGACTGTGAGGATTTACCTGTTAGTTACGGCTCTAGAGACTCCATCCTCAGCCACCGGCGCAGCTGGAGGTGGCGGAACAGAAGGAACGGGAGGGAGAGGTATGGCGATTAACACTTTACCATGACAATGCAATCAGTGCACATGGAGTTAGATTGAATAGGAGTTAATTAAAGTCACCAGTATTGTCGACTTGCAAAAACACTACACTGGAAAAGCTTAATTGGCTTCTTTAATGAGAGCCCTAAAGTAAGTAGCATAGCAATTAATTGTAAAGCAGTTAACACACAGTCATTCAAAACAGGAGCTACTTAGCTAGTTCGCAAAAACTGTTTTGTGTAGATAACTACATATTTTCACAATTCATGTAGAGGTTTCTAAACATTCACCCACTACAATCATATTCTTCTGTAAGAACAGAAAACCCTGCTAATAAACCACTGTTTATTAGCAGGGTTTGTCATACTGCTACTAAGAGCTGATTGGTTGGTGAGCTCATCAGCTCATTGTCTGAGTGAAGCAGTTCATTCACTGACGTAATTAACATACATGAGACACATTATAAAGTCCTATAAAGTACTCAAAAATATAACAGTGGTGTTGCTGGTCTGGTGCTGGAATAAAGACTCTGGAGAGACTCCCTCTAGACTACAATACATTACAAACAACATTAAATAAATTGAAGAAATTACATAACGGGCTCCCTGGTGGCCCTAAGTGACTGCTGATACTGTTTATAATGAGAAACAGCCCTCATATGTAATAAGGGGTTCAAGCCAAAGCTGGTTTAAAGGGAGCCTGGCCACTTCATATTTCTCCTGTTATATCAAAAACATGAGTGCAAAGCACCAGAAGGTGCCCCTGAGCGAGTTCTAAAAGAATGGGGGATGGGGGTGAATAGATACTTCCTTTTCTTTAAACCAAACAAGTTTTGGGCAGTAGGACATTAGCATTACTGCTACTGAGTACTGCTTGGTCACTCTTACTGCCACTGAAAGCTGATTGGTTGGTGAGCTGATCAGCTCATTGTCTGAGTGAAGCAGTTTACTCACTGATGTCATTAACATACATGAGACGCCGTAATAAAGTCCTATAAAGTACTCAAAAATATAACAGTGGTGTTAAAATGTTTTATGCTACTCTGTGTTCAGGAAATGAATGCATTCTTCTATATTAAAAAGAGGTTGAAGCATTTACAAATTATGATTATGCTCAAATTAACCAAATCAATTTGGATTAGCTTGGGAGCGCCCTCTAGTGTTTGACAAACCTGCAAGACATTACTGAGTGGCAATTCTCTTCTCCTCTTCAGCCAAGCTTGATGCAGTGTCAACAGTCTGGCATAGACCACTTTAGGGGTGTCTGAAATTGTATTGCACGTCTTTCAAATATGCCAGGAAAATGTGTGTTATTTTTAAGAACGAATAAACTATACTTACCAGAGGATGGGATGTTAGTCTTACCTTAACATGGTCAGAACTCCCAAAACTCTGTTACTGGTACCATGTCTAAGCAGATATAGACATTAAATGTTATTTTGGTATAGCTGGGTATGTTATTATCAGGTTAACTGTTTTGGGCACTACATAATCCAGATCTCTCCACTGTCATCTAGAGGAAAACAATGCATTTAGAGTCCTCAAGTGCACAAGAACTTATTATCAGGCAGATTTGTCAGCAATATTGGTCAGTAAAAGTTGTGAACTTGCTCTTCAATACATTGCTGTTTCTCATGCAGTCTTGGTGCGGATAGGAGCAGTGCTGGCAGCGGCGGCAAGAAGTGGGCGGCCTCTGGCCTGAGCGGAAGCGTAGCCATGCGCTGCTCCACACTGCTGGCCATTTTGACGGCCGTGCTGCTCTACCTGGTTATGGGGGCACTGGTGTTTAACACGCTGGAGGCCCCAATTGAGGAAGACAAATACAACACTCTGCTCCAGAGTCTGCAGGACTCCAGCAATGAATTCTTGTACAGTTACACCTGCGTGAGCCCTGACAATCTACGGACATTCCTAGGGGTAAGGGGAATCAGAGTACAGCAAACAGAAATACTAGAATAACATGTCAGATTAGGAAATACAAGGACTATATAAAGGGTTTTGTTCCAAAATACATTATAGACCACTTTCAAGAATTTTCTATTTTTTACAGTCTCCTCAGTAAGAGAGACCGGCAAGGCCAATATTTTGTTTTTGCTATACACTGAATACATTGGGGTTTTACAATATATCAGAATTTCAGCATTTACTACCTGTCTATAGTAAATTAAAGTAAATAACACATAATATTTGGCTGCATATCCCTTGCTGTTAATCAAGTAGTTAGTGCTATAATCTCAGAGAACAATTACATGTGATATCTCATTAGAAAGAATCTGATCAAGCAGATGGATTTTTTGTTTATTATAGCCTGTTGGGTATACAGTTGCTGTCTAACAATAGTCTCTTATTCTTTATGTTTCTACAGAACATTACAGAAGCCATTCAGGGAGGGGTTGATCCCACAAACAACAACAGCACATTCAGCAGCAGCTGGGACCTGGCCAGCGCTTTCTTCTTCTCCGGCACCATCATCACTACCATCGGTATGGCATTCTCACATTGCTGGATGAGCCCAGCTCCATTTTAACCTCAGGGACATGGCCTGCCTCTGCATTCTGTGGATTGTTCACCCCGCAAGTTCTCTATAAATATCTGATCCTCAAATCACACTACGTTTCTATGTGGCCTCCAGGTTACGGGAATATCTCTCCACAGACAGAATGGGGCAGGTTGTTCTGTATCTGCTATGCCCTGATGGGAATCCCCTTGTTTGGGTTCCTGCTTGCTGGGGTAGGCGACCATCTGGGCACTGGGCTGAGGAAGGCTGTGGCTAAGATAGAGATGCTGTTCCTGGTGAGAGAGAGATGATAATGATGATGATGAAGAAATCATTACACTACAGTTAAATAACTGTTAGAAATAAAATAGATACTGCATGAACCAAATGATATATGTGCTATGAACAATAAGATTTAAATATACATTGCCAGTCTAAAGTTTGGCCACATCTACTCACAGAAGCATGAGTCCTTAATTTCACTATTTATCACATTTTAGAAGTGAAATTCAGGCATCAAAACTATGAAAAATGTATTGTCGCTGTCCAAAGAAACACAAGTGTCTTCAAAATGGTAACTTTACAGTGCAAAAACGTTCTTTGCTTTCAGTGTCAGTTAATGTAAAGAGATTTTATTCAAAGCAATTTTAGAGCATTTACATTGGTCCTTTCATCTTTAAATTTTCACACAACATAAAAGACAGCTGCTGAGCTCAGATGATGCAGAAAACTGAAAATCGCAAAAAATGGAGATACTTGTTCTTTTTGGACAGCAAGATATGGAATTATAAAAAGCATATGAAACAAAAAGTGTGTATTTATTTTAGATTAATCAAAGAAGCCCATCTTTGCTATGATTCAGCTTTGTACACTCTCAGCATTCTCTCAGCTGGTTCATGAGGAACCACCTGACGTACTTTTCCAGCAGGGTTGAAGTTCCACATAGGCTGAACCCTTATTTGATGCAGACTTCAAGTTTGTTTTTTCTTGATTTTTTTTAGAAATAAATGTGTTTATCAGCTTTGCTATTTACACTTATATTTGCCTTTAAATTTTAAACATTTAAGTATAAGCCTTTAGATCAAAATATCTTTAAAAGAGCATTCTGGCTTAAAACTAGATTTCATGGTGTTCCGCAGCTGCATTAAATCCCTCAGATTCATTGGTTTGACAGAATTCTATTAATGTTCACTCACTACATTACCCAGCATGCATTACGCAAATGCATCAAATAACCCTTAAGGGATCCCTGTGGTGTCAACCAATCCTGCCCGTTAGCCTAGCCATTGATCTATAGGCTAATAAATACACCCAATCTAACTTTAGGGCAACTTTCACATCAGTTATCAAACAAAATTGCAAAGAAAACAGCAATCCTGTCTTTATTTAGCACAAAAAGGAACCTAGAGCCAAGTTTTTTGAACCCTTTCAGCCAGAAAAAAGAAGCCAAACTGAGAGCCATCACCAACTAGCCGGCTAACTTCAGCTTTTAGCTTGTTGTCGTCATATGATGAGTCATTTCTGACATTAGGTAGTCTACTTTCTCCTTACAGTTACTACAGGTACAATAGTAATTATTACAGCCATTTGGTCACAATAAGATATTGAGCTTTCTAACAGTACTGCTTGTCTTCCTTCTGCATTTAAAAAAATTTAAAAACAATGCCCCCTCCAAAAAAATCAACCACAGAGCAGTTGTAATTTTCCAAATGTTCCTCCCACTTTAAAGATACATCATTATAAGGGGGGTTTCCTAGTCTTTACACCAAAAAATCTCACTCTAGAGATTTCTGCAGCACCACTGGATGTGAAGGAGAACATTTTCCACCGATGTAACAACGTTTTTTGTTTTGGCCAGTGTATCAACAAAAATACATTCAATTTGGTAGGTCCAAACCTCTGACTGGTACTGTATTTGTTAGCATATACAGTGTTCTCTTATTGTATATTCAGTTATGAGCTGACTACAGTAATGTACCATAATGTCCATGTTTTTCACCTTCCTGATTTGGTGTTTTTCTGATTTTGTTTTTTTTCTGTTCTCTTCATTGATGCTCTCAGAAGTGGAAAGTGAGCCCCACTATTGTACGTGTCATCTCTGCTGTGCTTTCCATCCTGCTGGGCTTAGTGCTCTTTGTCTTTGTGCCCATACTGGTCTTCCAGGAGGTGGAGAAGTGGACCCTGCTGGAATCTGCATATTTTGTGGTCATCACCCTCACTACTGTGGGTTTTGGGGACTATGTTGCAGGTACATTCCACACTGCTAATGTGGTCCATTACAACATTACTTTCATGGAATGAGCATGTTCGCTTAATCTCTGTGTGTTAAATCAGTACAGAAAGGCAGTGTTCAGCCACAGTTGAATGTGGTGCCTGACCTTGCTGGTAATGCCAATATCTCAGTGATGCTCTCAGCCTTTTCTCTTAGCTGTGCTACCTTTAAACCCTTTTGCTCAGGTGATAGTGGGACCCGGGGGGGATAGACCACTGGTACAACCCCCTGGTGTGGTTCTGGATCTTACTTGGCTATTGCTTAAGATTTTATAAGTGCAGGCTACTGTATACAGAACCACTTTATAGTTGCTCTACAGCTTGGCATAGAGCAGGCTTTCTCAACCACTGGGCCGAGGACTACAAGTGGATCACCAAGCGCACGTTTGGTGGTACTTGGACCTATACTGAGGGGGGCCAGTGGTCCGTAGTGGGCCTGTGATGGCACTTTGTCATAACAATCAGTGAAAAAAGAACTGACTTAACAATAAAAAGAAATCTAAAATGTTTTCAGACAGTTAACATTAATACATACCCCGCAATAACAGTGCACAAAGGCAACTTTGTCATTTTTTTTGTGCTTTGCCTGTTGAAACACCTGACCTTTCAGTTGTCCACTCACACTAATATTCTGCTGATATTTCCTGTTCACTGATACACATCACATATTGCAAAAGTAAGCCCCCACATATCACTGTGTTGAGAATTTCTCCAAATTAAAATTTTTTAAGCAAAAACATTGAGTTTTGTTTTCTTATAGGCCTTCATGCTTTCTAGTGATAAACAGGTCGGGCCTTGAGGTGGAAAAGAGAACCCCTGGCATAGAGGACAGTACACTGGTTTTAATACATGGTTAAACTACCAACACACTGATTTGTATGTACATGTATCTAAAATGCTGTTTTACCATAAGTACAAGTTGATGAGAAGTATAAAATAAACATGAAACGAAAAGGGCAGGAAAATGATATATTACTTGTTTACTCTTAAGGTATTTCTTTTGTCCAAATGTCTGTAGAAATCCTCTCTTCTTCTAAATAGGGAGTTTGTCCTCCCTTTACTGCCATAACAGCCTCTACTCTTTTAGGTACACTAGAGGTTGGAATGTTGCTGTGAGGATTTGATTGCATTCAGCCACAAGAGCATGAGTGTGATGCGTGAGTAATGCCAAAATTGATACTCTCAGTCTTTTTCTGTAAGCTGTGCTACTTTTAAACCCTTTTGTTCAGGTGATAGTGGGGCTGAGGGGACAGACCACTGGTACAAACCCTTGGTGTGGTTCTGGATCTTACTTGGCTTGGCTTACTTCGCCTCCGTCCTCACCATGATTGGGAACTGGCTACGGGTCCTGTCTAAAAAGACACGTGCTGAGGTAGGCAGGCTTAAGAGAATTTCACAGTGTTTTTCTCTATACTCAGCTGACAGTTTATTAGGTACTATGTTGGAACATCTAGCATACCTTTGCAGTTTGTAGGTTAAGAGTTACTGTCTTTAGCACATCTGTTGCTGCACATACAGTGTGTACAAGTTGATTGTGTCTGATGAAGTGGCCTGGAAGTTTAAAGAATGCAGCAGTGCTGCATGCACCATGTCAGTGTCACTGCTGTGCTGAGAATGAGCCACCACCCAAAAACTGTCTGATCAGCAGTGGTCCTACAGTAGTCCCTGATGAATTTAGGCTCATCTGTTCACGAAACTTTATTCCACGTATAAGATGTCCAGTTTTGGTTTTCCAGCCCAATTTTTCTTTTTTGGCCATTCCTTTTCTTAGTAACAGCTTCTTGGCAGCTACACATCCTTTCAGACCTATGGCATTGAGTTCTTACGGTCTCCTCACAGGGTAAAGATGGACAGAAACACCTGTGGATTGTTTCAGAACTGAAGCAAGAGAGGAGCTTGATTTTTCCCCTATCAAAGATAATAAGCACTGTTTATCTGATAGTGACAGTTTTGGTGGTCTACCAGGTCTTGCCAGTTTGTTAGGAGTCCCAGTTTCTCTGTATCTTTTAATAATTTAAATGACGTCAGTTTTGGAATCTCCTGTTTTTTCCTTTGCCTTCTCCCTTAGGCAAGTGAATTATCTTATCATTAGTCTCCTCAGAAACACCTCCTTTAGCTACTTTAGATGCTCATAAAAAAACTGGAGACAGTTAAGATGTGTTTGTGTAGTTGCTTGTGTCATTGTTGGTATCTGTTTGAAAGGTGAACATTAAGTCAGTGAAATCTTTGGGAACAGCTTTTGTTGGGAAGACACAGCTGTAACTTGGTTAAAGTTACAAAAGAGTGCACCAAAATAAAAACTTGCCAAATATTGATAGATTTGATATTATACTTAGTGTTGGAAGCTTTATATAATTTTCTATTAAATATATTTTATGTTTTCCTACTAATGATGAAAATAAAAAATATATACATGTATTAATGAACTGGCAACTCAACATATATTGGCATGAACATTTTCCATCATTTTACTGTCCATCATGCACTTCCACATATATCTTGTTACTCACCTGACAGTTCTCATGTTATCCCCGTTTAGCATTGCTTTCTATTCTTGTTCTTCCAGGTCTTCTCTCTTTTTCCACCTTCATCTTATCCTTTTCTCTATTTTCATTTGGTAACATCTTTCTTTCTGTAAAGGAAAGTAATATATCTCCATCTCTGTTCTCTCCTTTCTCAGATGGAAGAGCTGAGAGCACATGCCACTGACTGGACCCAGAATATCCAGAACATGTCCGTGGACTTCCGCATCCCTGGCAAACTGGACGAATCATTTAAGCGTCGCCGAAGGAAGCGTCGTCGTGGCCCCCGCAGCCATGGAGCCAGCCACAGTACCTCAGGCATGGCCCCTGGAGAGGGCGGAAAAAGGGAAAACGGACAGCCAGACAGAGAATCTGGATCTCGATCCTCCGTCTCGTACTCTACGTCATCCAATGAGTCAGACTCTGAGGAATCTGAGACAGGGTCAGAATCGACCCAGACAGAACAGGTGCCGAAAAAAGGGGAGGGGGAAGATGGTCCGCTCCCTAAAATCCCTACAGAGGCCACACACTCCCAACCTTTGGATTACTTTGGGGAAAATCTAGCCTACATTGATGAGTCTTCAGATGCCGTCAGTACAAAGCTTCACCTGGACCCACTGCTGGACATGCCTGAACCTAAGTCTGCCGCACAGCACAAGGCCAAGAGGAGACGTCCCAGAAGACCGGCAGCAAAGAAAACGCCCAAAACTAGCCCCACTAAGCTGGAGCACAAGGAGCCCAATGGAGATATTCTGCCCCCTAATCACACCCCACCTCCTCCACCAAAGCCTTAACCAGGAGGCCTACGCGCTCCCTCAGAAGTGCATTACCGTGGCTGACCACTACAGCAGTGGCTGTAAAGGCACCACTGATTTAAGACTAAACTTGCAGTGCAGTTAATGGCAGACATGTTTTTGTGCCTGATTTATCAGAAAAAAGAAAGAAGCAAAAGCTTTAGACTTTTTTTTGAAAGTGTGAAAAGGCCAGACTCTTTTTAAGAATGCAAACACTAGGTGGCAGTTCACTGACTGGCCACTCATTTGCATATAGACTTCAAAGCTAAGCTCTTAGCTCCATCTGCTGGCTATTCTTGGAGCTGGAGAGAGATTATCAGTGTGATTAAGTACAGCACATACAGCTGCTGACATGGATGGCCTTCAATCCATCTGCTTTTATCTTCCTTAGTGTTTTTGCAATTAAATCAACCTGATTGTGCCACATACACAATGCTATCTCTTAGACATAATAATGTGACTCTTCTCGAATGACCTAATTTGGCACCTGTGCTTTATTTTCCCTACACAGATATCCCTCAAGTGGTTCTTAATGGGACACTGAACAAGATAACTAGATAGCAGGGGTTATATTTCGGAGCTTACGTCATAAACTGAATGTAAATGTGGGTATAAAAGCGAGAGATAGGGATAGAGAGAGTGAGTGAATAAGTGTCTGAATGGGCATGCATATGACTATTTGTTTATGGGCATTTTTCCATGAACCAATTCCCATTAAGCAGTGGTTCCCAGTCGTGGTCCAGGAGTACCTCTGCATATTTTGGTGTTTTTTAGGAAACTGTCATAAATCATTTTAAAGGATAATCCAGCGATTGTCAACCTAATCTGTGACACATCTGTGGCATATAAACATTAACACGGAGAGTAATTTTGGCATATTTGTCTGTACTTAGCAAAGGAACAGAAAACCTGTTGGCTCAAAACATAGTTATAACTGAAGCCAAAGGGCAGTGGTTTTGAGCTTGTGTCTGTTCTTTTACTGAGTGAAGGCAAACACACTGAAATTACTGTCTGTGTTAATCAGTGTTGGTGTAGTTATCAAAACTGGGTATCTAGGATTACAATTTTGTACTTCATGAAAAAGGCAGTATTACCACTGATTACTTCTAAGTTCCCTAAAAAACATTTAAATCTGTATCTACTAGAAAGTACAAGGAATAACAATCAATGGTCCTTAAACTTTATTTAAGAAAAAATAGCCACAGTGAACACCTTTTAAAGGCATGCCACTACTTTGCTTCTGCTATGAACAAGACATAGCCAGTTATATATGGTTAAAATTTTGAACTAGGCTAATACTCTAAAACTTGTGTCAAACACAAGGCCCGCAGTGAAATTACTTTAATTTTTTATTCTCATTAGCCCATTTCACTGTGAGATGCACTACAGTGCCCAGTATGCACTGCAACATACTGTGCGTTCTCACCCCCTTCCATCAACAACAATTTATGGGCCAATGGTTACACAAAAGGAAAAGATGCCTGGTGTCTAGTTCAAGCAAATACAGTTTTTAAAAAAAAAAAAAAAACTACCTAAAACTACTTGTTTTTATTTAGAATTATTTTTAATATGTATTCAGTGCCTATTTTGCTGTTGCATATTTTAAATAAACAATGGCCCGTTCAGGTCATGGTACAATGTTTAGTATAAATGAAATAAAAACACAGCTGCCCCATAGATTTGCTGAGATTTTTTAATATGGCCCTTTTTGTTCATATTTGAGTTTGACACCCCTGCTCTAAATGATGAACGACAACCAGGTCTGGCCTGTATACTGGGGCACTGTTTTCTTTGGCACGGTGATGGTTCTAAGTATCATATTAGCATGCAGCACTCATGAGATCATTCTTCGATGGAGAGATTGCTCATCCAGTTTACAGCAGTTGAAAGTTTAAGCTTAGTCCTAACATACACTTCACAACAGTTTTATGTGTAATGAACTAGGGTTGGTCAATAGGACAATTTGTCAACGTGATAAATTACATAATATGCTTTTCTAAGCATACTGTGGATATCGTCAGTACTTAAAGAAGACTGACCAATCTGTGTGTTTCTTTAAAAAAGGAGCATAATTAGGTCAGTTTATTTGGACTTTGTGCAGAACAGTAGGTGAAATTTTGAATAAAAATCATTGTATTTTTAGTTTTTGACTGTGTTTTTTAAAAGAGGTATTACTGTGGATATTTTTGTCCATTCCAACTTATCAAACACAATATTGTGTTATCAAATACATATTGTGTATTATGAAAATGTCTTCAGCTGCTGTGATATTGCACATTTACCACGTTGCCCACTCCTACATGAATTCAAGAAAATGAGAATATATTTTTGGAGGCATCCACTCTTTTCCTCCTCCGTCATAGACTCATATTGCAAACTGCCTGCACTCAAGCTACACTAATCATAATTACAGCCCACGCTGGGCAGTCAATTGGCACAGGTAGTGGACATGCACACAAAATATGTAAAAAGGACAGGCAGATTTCACTACTCAGGGCAGTCTCTTCATTAGGAAAACACACATTAGAATTACTGTATGTGTGACTGTTAACTCGCCTGTTCCACTTCTCAGTCATGGTTATCATAGATTATTCCATGTTGTTATGTGATGACACAACTGCATCACATTTTTGGGTGGAAAATCTAATAAAGTTTAGAAGAGGGGGGAAAGCAAAAAGTTTGTTGCTACACTCCCAAAGCAGTCCGAACAAAGTGCTGCACAGACTCAGCAGTACATACTGCTAGAGTTAATGTTAGTATAGACAAATCCAGTGTTGGGTAATTCCTCAAAAAGAATAAGAGTTACTTTTGAAAAATTTTAAAGTTTCAGTTAATTTTTTTAAAACTTAATGGGATTACATTACATATTACTTCCTGGAAAAAAGTAATCTCATTATTCATTACTTTACTTCTACCTTACTCCTTATTACCTTACCTTACTGTACCAAATTATCTCACCAAATTGGCAGATACTTATGCCTGTTTTAAGCACATTTCTTAAGACAGGCAAAATTATCTGCCAATATAATGAGATAATTTAACTTAATACAATCACTTCAGTAAAAATGTCTAGAAATTAGTTAAACAATCTTATTATATTCTTACAACAATCTCAAAATGAGAAATACTGAATATATAAACTAGATTTTAAAAAACGCACTAGCCAAGATATCATTTTTTGTAGACAGTGTAAATGTCATCCAGGGGCCCCATTCCTGTCTTTTGCCTAAAGCCCCAGAATCACTAAATCCACTCCTGCACTACTTCATTATAGTAAAAAGTAGCATGTTACTTTGTACCATGTTACTCTCAACACTGGTGGCAACTGTACTCCAGAAGTGGCAGATATATCAGGTTGAAAAATGCTGGAATATTCCTTTAACCCAGCAAACTCAGGGCTCTTCCCTTAGTCACTGTGTTCACAAAGTGCTGACCTTTTGAAATCTCATTTCTCAAAAACTTTTTCCAAGCAACATATTTTAGATGATTTGCTGAACCTTCAGTCTGCAATCAACACATCAGTGACTTATGGTCAAAAGAAAAGGATTAACCCATCAGGAACACGTTTTTTGTGGTTTTCACTGGTAATTTCAGAACCCAATAAGACTTTGCTGCATACTCTGTTGTGTCTCAGCCTTATTTTCTTACTCAGCTGTTACCACAAACACACAAACACAGTGTCACATTAATTCCATTGACCTTTCCATTGTTCTTTTTTCCATAGTACTCATCAACTGCTTCCTCAAAAGTATACGTGTTTACAGTATATACTCACTACACCGATGGAGCCTGTTGATCTTCTCAGTGTCAGTTTTGATCTCCTCTCTCTGTCCACTCAGCACTGAGTGGGTCAGGAACAGTAATGATGGTGTCTCTCTTTCATTCTGTTGAATGAAGGATTGTAAAATAGGCCACTGGTTTGAAGTACTTGTGATGGGGAACGCACTTTATCAGCTGTAATGAAGCATGGTTTTACTGAAACAAGTTGAAGTTTTTACCTTCCATAATGCATGACAGAAGTGTAGAATTAAGGGATGTTCAGGGTTACTGGTGTCTTTCTTCTGAAAGTTGTACACTGTTTTTGAGCAAAAAAGAAAGATTCTTTTTCCATCATGATCCAAATACCTGCTAGATGTTTTCATTCCTTACAATAAAAATCAAAAGGCTTATTTTGAAAATGCCTGTTTGCGGTTTATAGCTCTCACCTTCTGAAATGTATTCCCAGTCACAGATCGAACAATAGTGGAGATTCTCTGACTAAACAGAAAAACAGTTGTATTAACTTTTAATTACAAACTTATGCAAAAGCTTGAACAGTCCTGTTTTTTCAGCAACATTTAGTGCACAATTTCTATTTGTTTGCCAAATTTAACAGTGGGAAAAATAAAATCTAAAATGTGCCATAACTTCTACACATTCTGCCAACAAACAGTAAACCTGCATTAAAATGTGCAGAACTGTGTTCTCTGGAGAGGATGTGTAAACTTATCACACAGAAAATCAACAAAACATGCAATTTGACCAGAGGCGCCTAAACTTTTGCATACGACTGTATGTCACGTTTAAATTCAATCAAATAGCATCAGCATACACTACCATTCAAAAGTTTGAAAGAATATACACCGATCAGCCATAACATTATGACCACCTCCTTGTTTCTATGCTACGTTCTATGCTATTGTTCTTCAGTGGTCAGGACCCCCACAGAACACAGTGTTTAAAAACTCCAGCAGCACTGCTGTGTCTGATCCACTCAGACCAGAGCAACACACACTAACACACCACCACCACGTCAGCGTTACTGCAGTGCTGAGAATGATCCATCACCCAAATAGTACCTGCTCTGTGAGGGTCCATGGAGGTCCTGACCACTGAGGAACAGGGTAAAAGGGGGCTAACAAAGTATGCAGAGAAACAGATGGACTACAGTCTGTAACTGTAGAACTACAAAGTGCTCCTATATAGTAGGTGGAGCTGATAAAATGGACAATGAGCGTAGAAACAAGGAGGTGGTCATAATGTTATGCCTGATTGGTGTACACATATGCCACAGAATACACATATATACATATATGTGGGGGTGGTGGGTGTGTTCATTTCTTATATAGTGTAGATGTAAATCTTATAAATGTTTTATCGTTTTAATATACTATAATTATCTATTTAAAATAAAAGACTGATCATCAATTTTAAAACATGAGGCATTCTGGGAGTTAAATATATTATAACTTCATTCTCAGTGTTTTACAGCTTTCTCAGTCATTTTAGAGTAGATGACTGCACAACATGGAAACCAAGCATGGTGTCACGTTATGTTCCTCTGATAGATAATTCACTCTAAAGACTGCAGTAAACTGCACATTTAATGAATCCTAGGAGTAAAAAATTTGTTACATGACAGGTGATAAGAGATTAGAATGATAAATGCAGCCATAGTCTTTTACTCGGGCCTACTCAGACCTCATAAAAATGTACATCAATGTTACAGTTTCAGCAACTGCATTCAACTGTGATGAATATTGTCCTATGTAATTAGAATATAAGTTTATATATATTATAAATTAAACCAGCTCTCTGTAATATATTCCTTAAAACATTCCTTTTCCACCTCTAAAGCTTTATCTGATCAAAGCATACCAGGCCCAGCAGCAATATTTCAGTATCTCAACTCTCTGGTCTTCAAAAACGTTTGACCTTGTACTCAAGGACACTGTGAGTGACGTCACTAGCCGGCAGTATTGCACTCTCTCGCTAGAGGGCGTTGTACCAGCGTTTGCAATAGGAACTGCTCTTCCTTACTTTATTACCCTCTCTATTTATAGCCTGGAATTTATTGATGACTGTAGCGCAATTTACTGGGGACTATACATTATAATAAGACATAACAAGGACAAGCATCAAATATAATAAATCCTTGTGAAACAGGAGATCTATTTCATTTGCATTCAAATGGAGATCACCAGTCCATTATAACAGAGTTTTATAATAGGTTATATATATGCGCACCTTACCAGATCAAGAGCGCATCCTTATTATAAGATTCGACCATGTGTTGAACAAAGTCACAGCTGCAAAGAAAAAGAAAGTCTCTTATGTGCCTTTTTTTTTAAATATTCACATATTTTAAAATAGACAGGTATTTACTCTCAGAGCATGTGTCTGTACACCCAGCAGCAGTCACAGCTGCAAAGAAAGGCAATTTACGGATTAAAGCAAGGTACACCTAAAAAATACACCTTTATTGACCATGAGATTCATTTAAATGTGAATAAGCCACTCCTAATGCATTCCTGCATGGACTGACTCTCTATTTATGTATGTGTTACCTATGTTGAGCTTCACCAAATGAATAGACCCTTCTACAGCCTTTAGATGGCTTCCAGTTGGCCCCTTTGCCCATTAATGTTTGTGTAGCTGTTCCCACCTGTGTTGGGGTCACGACCCTGGGCAGCATTCCGGCACAGCATGACCTTCTGTGGCAAAGTCATAAACCACATTTACTCAAAAAGCCCCTCTCCCCCACCCCCATCAAATGAAAGACACAGAAATGTTAATCTCTGTTAAACTGTTTAACTTAATATATATATATATATATATATATATATATATATATATATATATATATATATATATATATTGTATATTGATATTGTATATGCTGGTGTCTAAAGAAATAATTCGCAAAAAACCAAGTGAACACAATTTTCCCCAAACCCCAAACACAGCTGATCAGCCAAGATGTTTGGTACATGATGTTTGCTAATTTAGTTTCAGCAGCTACGAGGCTAATGTAGCTAACAAGTCATGCAAGTCCATGTCACCCAAGATAGTTTAGGCTGATAGAGACTTCCATTATATTAGCCTTGTAGCCCCACTGCTAAACTAAACGAGCAAAGTTCAGACTCCAAAAATATTTTGGCTGAACAATTACAACCGAGGTAAGAGGAAATCTGTGTTAATATCATTTTTTTAAAGTGAATAATTCTTTTTATTCTCCATAAAGTCAATGTGTGTGACTGCAGCCCTCAGGAGCTCAGCTGTAATGCAGTATGTGCGCTGTGACCTTGAATTCAAGGTCGCCTGTGGATTCTCAATGACACTAGCAGCACCACCGCTCCCTGCTCCATATTAATCTCCTTTATGGCTGTATAGAGCTGCATCTTTTATGTTCTTATCAAGGCTGGGGGAAGGCTTAATCACTTAGGCTCTGCTATGATTTAGGTAGCCTACCTCAGCTTTCAGATGTCCCTTCTTAGAGGCTAAACCGTGTTTGTGTTTCTTAGATACATTAGCCTGCTAAGCTCCCTAAACACAGGGCTACACAGTGAGCGCAGAGAGCTTCCGGTGCTTGCGGACCCGTTTCTGTAGGGTCTTTTTCTCTTCCCGTCTCTTCTTTCTCCCTCTTCTCCTCTTCTGTTTCCTCTTCTTCTCCTTCCCTCTCCTCTGGCCCTGCGCCTGGAACTTTTTTCTCCGCACCAGCTGACTCAGAGCAGCGCGCTGGGCCGAGAGTCACAAGACCGAGCAGAGTCTGAGTCCGAGGACAACTTTTTCCATGCCATCTAAAGTGATGTGTGACTTTACAGCAGCGTGGCGCGCCACGACAGCGCCAAACGCACTGCGAACACTTCTCTGACCACATAGCTACTAAAATATTAAAGCCGGGCAGTTTGTGATTGAGTCATTTTTAAGGTCAAGAACGTTCATATTAACCCACAAGAGCTGCTCTAATGGACGCAAACGTGCGGACAGTGTAATCGTCCCTGCATGGGCCTAAATGAGAGCCTGTCCGGTCCTGTTCCACTGGAGCTTTTGTAACTGTTGTGCCAGACGTCGCCCGCTGTTGTAACTGATCTGTCGTAAACGCAGGCGAAGGCCACATGATTTCGTTAGTCACGAATCGTGACTAGCCATTTCATAACGATGATCAAAAAAACAGCCCTGGCGGCCGCCTGGCTACGGGTCTGTGGGCTACCAGAGCTTCCTCCTTTTGATTTAGACCCTGAAAATAGTAGCACGCCGGTCACAACCAATTTCCATGAGGAGCTGCATGGGGACACATCAAACGCACTCAGTCGTGAGGCAGGACGGACATTACAGCAGGACGATGACGTCGAGAGAAGCAGGCGGGACTGGAAGGGTCGTTGTTTCCTTTCCGCCCGTATTCAGGAAAGCCCCGCCTCCTGCGCTGGGATTGGCTGAGAGTTCATGACTCGCAAGCTGTCCGGATCGTGGCTCAGAAAAACAGACAACCAATCGTTGTGCAGGGGGACGGGGCTTGTGTGAATACGGGTGGGGAAAACAAACAACGCGGTCTGGGAAGGACGTAACGGAGAAAGAGCAGGAAAAAAGGGCAGGAGGAGGAGGAGAGGGAGGGGAAAGACGGAGGGACAGGCAGTACGTAACCACGATCTCACTCGTAGCAGCGGAAGACGAGATTCAAGCTTCCAGTAGCAACAGAAACGGCGGAGGAAGGACCCAAATGACCTGAAACATACGGATTAAAATCCGTCGCTAGGTCGCTCGGACGTCCTGCGGTTGCGAGGCGCAGCGTTAGCTCTGTCTAAATGGTGCAGTGTCGACGTGTCTGGAGCCCGTTTTTAGGATAAAGTCACGCATTTTCTCCCGCTAGCCTACAGTAGTCCTGCTCAACATCGCTAGCCTAGTAGACCGGTTCAGCATCTGTTCACTAAACCGGACCGTAGGCTGTGATGGTCCACAACTCGTGACAACCGCATCATTGGATTGACTGCTGTTTTTTGTTGTGGGGTCAGCGGTCACAGTAGCTCCATATCTGGCAGACAGTCTCCAGAGGTGTTCCCACAAATGCTGGTAAGTAAGAGATGCTAAATAATAATGCTGTCGTAGTGCATGGAGTCTACTCTCTACACGTTATCTTCACCCTGACTGTGTGGCCAATGGTTCTCCGCCAGCCTGTGAGCTGTTCATCAAGAATTCTGATGGCATCCAGTCCAAATGCCCGCTAAGTAAAGCTTAACTAACTTTCTTCTGTAAATTGGATAACGTGCTTTAATAGCTCGCTAGCTTAAACACCCCCCTCCACCCCCAGACCAGTGAGC